TACCGGTAAAAAATTTCAGGCTAGTCTATCACAGCTATTTCTACACTAATTTTTATTACTGCAATCAAATTAAAACTCCTAGGAAGACAGAGTGATCATTGAATTATCTGATTTATATTTAAGTTTCCGAAACACAACTGAAAACTAACGAATAGAGTTCAAAAACGCGTAAACGAGGTAATGTTTACAACCACACGTGAAAATCTGCCTGAGTGAGAAAAGTGTCTGAGCGGATGCGAAAAGGGGGCATTGTTACGTCACTTTCTGCATCTTGCTGATTGGCCAATGTCTCGAAGTAAACAAGGAAAACGATGCTCGGAAAAGGTCCATTGGATGAATGAATACTATCAGTACATATATGATTTATATTCGACCTTGTATGAAATTTATTTCTTATTTTTCTCATTGGGTGCTCTTTGTTTGTATTTCTTGGGGTGAATGGGGTCTCTATTGTCTCTTGTCAAGTGGGTTCGTCGAGGTTTGGGGAATACGAGAGGCTTGGGGTGACAATTTCGAGAGCATCGATACAACATGACTTTGCGAACTTATATCCTTTCGTGTGTGAGCGAAATGCCAAGCATATGTTGTTGTTTTCCAGTTAACTGCATTGTCGTCATAGAAAATAGGTTACGCAAAAATATTATTTTTTGCCGTATGGGACAATTTTTACAGTTGAAAGAATTGTAATTGTAATATTTGGAAAAATGAATATTTTTCTTTTCAAATCTATGCGATATCCTCTCGTGTGTCTCGTTTTTTTACCGTGCAGGACAATTTTGTTACCGTGTAGGACCATTTTTAAGATAAAGGGGTGAATGTAATTGTAATATTTGAAAATGAATATCTTCATTTTCCAAATCTATGCGATGTTAGTTAAGTGCTTTAAACACTGTTTGCTAATATGAATATGTTTAAATTATATATAAAAGTATCGTCTTTACTGAAAACGAATTAAACATAACCAGATTTTAATAAAATAGTAAACCGTGTGTTGTACAAAGCAGTATGCTTTGCAGCAGTGTTTATCAAACTTTTTCAATCATGACATACTTGGCACGATCAAATTTATTCTTGACCCTCAGGAACTAAAATAAAAATTAAACTTAACAATACATAAAACGCTGAAAAATAATATTAAAATTGATAAGACTGATGTGCTTGCATATATTCGCACAAAAAATCCAATCTTGGCTTCATTTCGGTGATGGTGGGTCCCAGTACTTGTTCCAATTTTTCAGATTTTGTCGTTATTTTGTTTTAACACAAGTCAGCGCCGAAAAATATTTTACCGCAGCTTTTACAGCATTCTGCATGGACCACCAACCACAATCTTTGATTCACGAACTAACCCGTCTAGATTTGAGAAACCTGTACAGCTCAATAGTGTCACCAAGTGACCACAATAGAGACAGACTGAACATGCCGAAGCACAAAAATTTTTTTTCGAGAGTACTCTTTGTTTTTAGAGCAATTTTTTTTCATCTTTCCAGAACCCTTGAACGAGAAACCAAATTGCTTTATCAGTAGATCTCTCTAAGCCGCCAAATTGATATATAGACCGCATTACCTAATTTTGTGGCGATCAAGATCATTTCTCAATTCATAATAGTGAAAAGGCGGCCCAGCAGGCAACGACACAATAGTCTAAGAATGCATGGTTTCCTCTGTATGAGATATAAAAATATCTGGAATGTACAAGCATACGTAACTAGGATAATTTTACCCGGTGATAATTTATTCTTCACTGACATAGTCCAAAAATAGTCCAGGACTACTTCAGGACCATTTTCCGTGCATTAGGCTGTACAATACCGCATGCGTTATTTGGTTGTCTATGTACACATTTCATAAGACGTATAGAAACAGACCTCTTGCGCTAAAGTTCTAGCATGAACAAATGATATCACCAGGGGTGCACGACACGAATGAGTTACAATTATAAACAGATGGGCCAATAAATGTTCAGAATGTAAAATGTAACCTTAGTTGATTGGATATAATTCGGAAATCAGAAACGCGACTTCCTTAATTACGTTTCTGTGTTTATTTTATATAGATGTTTAGTCTCACATTTCCTATCTCAATTGCGACTGTCTGTGTCCGCCGTCCCCTTTCATCATTAACTGAGTAATCACACCGGTTATCTTAAGGACGTTGATTATATTTGAAGTGATTTTGTCTGGATTTCTCGTTTGAACTTTGTGTATGATATCATTCCAAATACTCGAATAAATATAAAGGGTTTAAAATCTAAACTTTAAATGGTTATATACTTTACAGCGGTTGAGCGCAGGAACCTTACAGACCTCTTTGATTTACATATGTAATATTAAAATGGAATTTAAACTTTAATAAAATTTTCAACGCTAGTGTAAGTATTTTATCATCCAAACCCTGGTGCTTCCGAAGTATTTATACCAAGATGGCGCACAACCTTAACATAGTATGTGTACCAGGTCACGATTGTTCAGGTTGTGCGTCATCTTGGTACGAATACCTTCGGAGCGCCTAAATCTTTCTATGTATATATATGAATATTATACAAACATGCAATTTCTATATCGGGTTCTTTGCCAATTTTATGAGTCAAAAACGAAATTTGAAAATGTTATTCGTGTTCAACAAAAAGTTGAATATGTTCCATACAACGCTAGCTCGGCTAAGCAATGTTTAACCGCTTTCGGTCGTAAACAGGGCATACTTAGTCCGTCGTATTATTTTGTCTCCCTGTTTGACCAAATTTGGATAACAATTTCAAACCGGATCAGAATTACGATGTTTTCAAATATATTCAAGAGTTAAAAGTGAAAGTTGTAATCTTCTTTTCAAATCTCATATCAACTCACAGTCATCTCCCGTCAGACATAATATAACTATTATAATACAAGTCATAGTCGTCGGTTCAGTGATTGACTGATAATTTGTCCGAATCATTTAATATAATGACTGGTGTCATTTTAAGACTGATAAATTGTGATTCGAATCCGACTCTGGTCGAATCAATGACTCTCGCTTTACCGGCACTTGACGATATTTATAGTATATTTGGAATATCAGCATTTTGTATCGATGAAAACAACAATTTGTCACCGGATATATATTCAACTTTTAATTATCAATTTTAAAACCATGTTAAATCACGCTGGATACGACCCATTATTTTTAAACCTTAGACCTACTTGGCAGAGACAAAACGACACAAGTCATGATTTTCCGAGTAATCTCATTATTCGAGGACATAATACCATGGTTTTCCTGTATTTTGATTGAAATTAAGGCTCTTTAACGTCTAGCCAATTTGATGTGGTTTATAATGGTACTTTGTTGCTCAGAAAAGACATTTAGGATTCGACCGTTCATCTAGTAATCGTCGGCCCTGTTCAATAATAATTAGTATCATTACGACAAACGTGGTAATTAATTTGCTTTTCCTCATTTCGCGTCGGTTTTAAGAATCAATTACAAAATCTAAGCTATTATATTGGAACTATTATTGTCTGCGGTTTTTTTTCTAATTTCCAAGTGATAATGTTATTTCTAGTTGATGCAAAGTGGTTCTCAGTTTTTTTTTCATAAAGTATTTTTGTATAGATTCCGTCCACAGTTGACTTTACATACGACCTAGATTATTGTGTTTTTTTTCCACAAAAACAATTAGTGAAAAAAAAGAGAACTATTATTGGATCATCCAAATGTAAATTTTAATCGAGAAATTGAAACTAATAAAAACTGCTTTGTCAAACCATCACTATTTTTGAACGAAATATATGCCTTCACAAAATTATTAAACCTTTCAAATCACAGTGAATAGGTAAATAATTTGATATGATAATAATTTTTGGGATCCCTTTTCTCATTCCTATTCAATGGGATTTTAATTATGGTCCACTAGGCGCTCTACTTGGAATGAAAAAATAATTTTTCCGAAATAATAATAAACTTTGTCTGTTTAATAATTACGTGGGCGATAATTCTCGAATTATATTTTGAATGTCAATGTTTATGGGGCGTAGGTTTCAAATACGCATATTCTGATGCAATCGCTAGATTGTTACTCCCGTAGTGTGTGTACCAGGTTAAAGTCCGGACATAATTTTATTCCGATTTTCTTTATTTTGGTTTTGTTACGAGTTTGGGACTGTCTGTGTTCGCCAAGTGAATATACCCCCTGCCCATAGGTTTCCGTCCTTCCACACAACGTGATGGAAAGTAGGCGAACAGAATTAGTTACCTCCATATTGGTACACACACTTCTGGAGCGCCAAGTTCTCAATATAAAAACTTATATAAAGCGTAAGAATATCAAAATTTATGATAAGTTAGGTCGCTATGTTCGTAAAGCGCTCAGAGTTGACTTTCAAGTGAGAAATTGTCATGGATTAAAGACAATGAAAATTGACTCTCTAACGCTACTTTGCGAATTTCATGATTTCTGGAGAATTATCTCGCTTTCCACAGCAACAAAACACAGAACATCATCCCCGACAAATATTTTGGTGCTACTATAGCGAGGGGGTAATACTATAGCGTCAGGGGTACATTGGTGTTTCCCGGCCCTAATAGATATCACGTATTTCTTTATATAGGTCTGCCATTGACTTAGCAATTTATGGCATAGATCTGACTCTATTAACCCCAACGCGATAACCATCAGACTGTATCTGGTTAGTTAGACGACATACTACAGTAGACCTTACGTTATGGAAACACCGAAATTGATTACTAACCACTTCAGCTAGTCACAATATTCTGCTATGTCTATAAAACTATTTTCCCCTCGACTTTTTTGTAAGTATTATTATTAGACATTCTCATAGGTGACGCTGCTCAATAACCATTACTGGTTTATCGCGTCTCACTTCACACTGAAATGCGTTTTTTCATCTTCAGTATGTCTTTCTTTCTTATTCAGTATGTCAATGTGTATTTTCGGCATGTGTAAAAATAAACTACTGACTGACTGTGCATTATCAAAGTTTTAAAAACATCCATTTTTTCAGTATCGTGGCGGAGAATGTGGAACCAAGATGTACTGCAATGCAACTAAAGGAGAAAGGGTAAGACATTTTTGATTGATGTTTCATAATTTGGTAAACTCGTAAACACGCAATTCCAAAACAGAACTAAGCATGACTTTCATTTTAGGGGGTATTTCCAGTTTTAGGGGATGGGAGATAATTTGCTATTAGCGATAAAACGATTTGTAACTTGTTTGGACATCAAATTTTTAGGGGGGTGGTATCCGTCTATAGGGCTATAGGGGGTGTGGGAAAATCACTGCTTAGTAACACAATGATATAAAATTCAGATTTTGTAATTTGCGCGAACGCTAACCAATTTGTTAATTAAGAAACTTATTTTTAACCGACATAAACATCCATGCTTTATTTTTGCATTTGCTGTCTGTCAATAGTTTGTACAGACACCCGTTTATTGCTATTAATATTTATTCCTATTTTAGGGTATACCTGGTCTCGTAGGATTGGTTGGACCACCAGGGTTGCCAGGTTTTCCAGGACCAGAAGGTGCAATTGGACAACGAGGAGAACGAGTACGTATTCTTATTCCTTCCTTTCATTTTTTGTCAATAAAATATCACGATGTTTGTTCCAATTTAAATTTGTACTTGTTGGAAGCTGTGTATCGATCGTTTCCCTATTATTTTGTTCTTGTTGGTATTTTTCTTCTTGTTGGTATAAAAAATCGCTTGAAAACGAAAATTGGGTGCTCCCGAAGTATTCGTACCAAAATGCCGCACAAACTGAACACCCTGATTTGTACCAGGTTAGGGTTGTTCGGTTGTGCGTCATCTTGGTACGAATACTTCTGGAACGCCGAGAATTGTATTTTTCGCTAGAGGGCTATTATTTCTGCTTATTCTCAATTTTCTATGAATCCTAGGAGATTTGATATTTCAATTTTTTTTTTCAAATTTGCATCTCGCAAGAGATAAATTATCTTTCTCGTGGGATAAATATTATATCCTATTCTCTCTTACACACAACTACGCAACATGTGAACTTTATAAAATTTTTATAAACTTTAGGACAAGATTAACGGATTTGCATTAATCAAAATTTATTTCTTTCCTCTTTCAGGGTGAATTCGGAGAAGCAGGAGCTACAGGACCAAAAGGATCCAGGGTATGTTATCAGATTGATGAAAATAACATCAAATTTTAAGTCGATAGGTTTATTGGATTATTAGACGATTTTTATGCGCCATTCAGTCAAATATTTTGACGAAGGGCTCTCCGTAGTATGTGCACCATGATGGCGCACAACCTGAACAGAACATAGCATGTGTACTAGGTCAGGGTTATCAGGCCATCTTCGTATACATACTACGGGAGCGCCAAAATATTTTGACTCTCCGCATTAGCTTTGGAAAATACTCAAAAGCAGTAACTTATAGGCTACAGCGATAACAGTTCATTCCTTGCATTCTTGGTGAGTTCGATGTTCTTTGAACATTGGATCTCACCCGAAATTTCAAGCTAATGATGTCAACAAAATAACGTCAACGCTCTAATTACTAGGCCTTCCAGTATGAAGAGAAATCTTCAAAAAAACTACGTTCCCCGCCCACACGTTATTTTTAAAAGAACATAAGTTTTTGTTGTACCAGGAAAATTGTGGTAAAATAAGTAACCTATGACTTATTAATCTATTTTATCTATAAACAAGATTATTCAAAATATAACCACGCAATCTGAAAACATACTCCGATATTTATTGCCTAAGCAATGTCTTCTTCATTCATTAAAGAAATCATGCGCGAATTTATACACGGTCCAAGGATGATTTGGGCTCTTATTTGCCGATCGTTTGCAGATGATCTAGCATGTTTATAATACGATTTCAAAACAATAGAGTAATTGTTAAAATATCGATGTGTTTTTTAAATCCAAAGTAGCTTATGTAACATATTTCAGAATTAGAGAGCCTGCTTTTTATCTGGATTTTAAAACTACACTTGTTTTAATTTTGATGTTAGGCAGTGATTATGTCCATTTTGATGATTGACTGTAATAACCAAAACCTTAAAATGTGACATAAAATAATTTCGTTCTAGCCCGACGATATAGATCAAAAATATATATTGTTGTCAGATAGTTAGTTAATGCATTTTTCGGATAAGTTCATAATTTTTCAAAAATTGGAAAAATCTTATTTATTCTGTATATTGTAATCATTGATTGATCAATCATCTTTGTTGCGCATTGGATTCTGTGATAAGATCTGCGACAAAAAACGTTCGCGGTGTAAATTGTTAGTATTTGTAAACAAAAAAATATAGTTAAGAGTATATAAATGAGGAATTATTCGAATTTCACATACCGTTCTAACGAAGAGTAGGTCGTTTAAATATATAACAACAAAACAATTTTAGACTGTACAAACTCATCTGGAACGGAGCACACGAACTTTTCGTCGGTGCTTCTTTTTTGTTGTCCAAATGTAAAAATTATAACGTTCGCCAAGCAAATTATATCTAAAGCTTATTGTCAACTCACAATCTACAATCTTTTTTTTAGGGTGTGAGAGGATACCCCGGACATCCAGGAGCGCATGGAGCTAATGTAAGTAGACCAGCTTGCTAGAATATCGAAAGCGGAAAGATATGGGTATAAAATTCAAGGAATTCTGCTTGATTTTCTTTGATCGTGCGGGTTTTAGAAATTTGAAAGTTGAAACGCCTGTATTTATATTATACTCGACTGAATATATATATATATTTATTATGAGTTGCGATGACGAGAGACTGGCTATCTATCCTTCCTCTCGAGGGTATACTTTAACGCTAATAGGTCCCATATGCGTATACAGCAGCAAAAGTGCTGTAGCAGGAATAAAGATGGCCCTATTATGAGATTCAAGAGTCTTGTCTCACATCAGCACATGTATTTTTATAACGGTACGTCCTGTGCAGCAAAACTCTTGAATTCAATAGCATCTATATTTTTAACCGGAAAAAATGTTTTGTTTCAGTGTATTTTCAATTAATATTAAAGAGAATCCGCGAATCAAGTGCAACAACTAATTTATCTCTCACTGGGAATTCTTGTTCGAAAAATTTCGATTTTCTTCAATTGTATATTCCTTTTATTTCAGGGTATCAATGGTTTACATGGAACTCGTGGCCCACCGGGTTTGCCAGGATGTAACGGAACTAAGGTAACGAGAAATTTATTTATGAGGAACAGAAAAAGTACTTGAAAAACATTTTGGATTTTGTTTAAACTTTTGTATCAAAGATTTATAGATATTAGCAAGAATGAGTAAATCTGTATTTTGAAAATTTATGATTTCTATGGAATAATTCTAATAATATAATCGTCATGACTCTGGTCCACATTAGGATTTGAGCAAGTAGCCAGGTGATATTATGAAGAATTGTTACGGACTGGTTTGTTGGCTTAGTTATTTTTACTATCAAAACCTTTCCGATTCTAATTTTCGTTTAATTCTGTCTTTAAACGATGCAGAAGATGCTTTTATTTTGATTATGTCTGACTGAAATTCCTGTGATTTGTGAATTTCAAACCCCTTTTTCCGATGAATAAGATTCGATTGTTGCCTTATTATTTCAGGGTGAAACTGGACCTCGTGGACCAAGTGGGTTGCCAGGTTTGAATGGAGAAGTTGGATTTTCAGGATCTAAGGGTGACAAGGTCAGTTATTCTATTATTTTTTTTGCTATGCCTTTCCACGTTTTGTTTAAAATGATTTTAAGGCACATTTGCGTTCGATTTTGGACGAAACGTCAGTAGAGTGGGACATGTCTGTGAGAGGCGTTCAAGGAATTTACTAATATTAGCACTCAGTGCACCACGCCAAGCCATATCACACTGAATTCAAACTGAATTAACCCTTTTCCTTCTCTGATTCGAGAACGGCAAAAGTGCCTTTTTATGTCGTTGGCAGAGTGCATATATCTAACACATTGTAATTTTTTACTCCTGTTCAGGGTCAACCTGGTGAAGTTTTAAACAGAGTTCCCGGAAAGAAAGGTGAACCAGGAAGACCTGGGTTGGAAGGTCCTTCGGTAAGTGTTTTTATCTATAGATACAAAGCATGATTTGAAAAATAAATACGATTTCAACTATGTAAATGATGAATTCAATTATAAGTAAATTTAAATCAGCACAAAGTCGATACATGGGTGATAAAAATTAATTTGCGAGATAAAAATAAACAACATAAACAGGAACTTCAACGCGGTGATCAAAATGTTGAATATTTTGCTTCTTTTGTCCCAAGTTTTAACATTTCCGCAACGTAATTTAGGTCGTAAAATATACAGAGTGTCCATAAATCCCCTTCACAATTTCAATATTATTATGAAGTCAGTTCTCAATATATCTTGAACAAATTTGTTGTTTTTTATTCAGTAATTGTTCATGTATTTTCACCTTATTTAGTACGTCTGTGAGGGCCAAAACAGTATATGGTATTGATAAATTCTCTTGGCAATTTCAAAAATTTCAAGATTTTATGGACATTCTATAGTCTTATACAATTCACAAATATATAATTAGGAAGCTTACATCGATTGAAATACTCGCGTATGTCATCTTAATGTTAAATTAATGAACTAAATGTAATTTTATCCGGGATTAAAGACTCATTTTTGCCAATTACGACAATCAATAATTTTTTCATGATATTCAGGGTATCCCAGGAGAAACTGGACCAGTCGGACCAAGAGGTTTTATTGGGAATCCAGGCCCACCTGTAAGTATACACAACAATTTTCAATACAATTTTTATCTCATTTTTCATAAAAAGTCCGTACTGCTTCATTGATTGCATTACTCAGAAGAAAATGAATCTGTTTATATCTATCTGTTTGCCAGCATCGAATAAATTAATGAAAATGCATTTTGACTACAATATCTAATTATGAATCACAGATATATATGTATAAAATAGGAGTCTATCTCTACTTGGACCATAGACATTTGTCTATAGAATAAACGAGATGAAATTTGGTGAAAAAAAAATAATTCCATGAAAAATATTTGAGAGTTTTAAAAACTATATTTATTGTTTGACGTTTTTATATGTTTTCTCTCCTGATAAGGCTCTGTTCAGGCAATCATTACTAAGTAAAACTCTATACAGAATCTTTTCAATCCGGAATTGTTTTTCCAATGTATTACAAACTGGATGAGATGATTACTGCGATGTCAATATAGCTAAGTGATTGATTTCACAAAGCGACAACGGCATATAATCTTACTTTAAAATTCTATTCGCCTATTTTACAAATCAGATGAATTCACGGTATAACTGACAATATTTTTTTGTTATCACAGGGCCCTCCTGGAAATGATGGACCCAGGGGAGACAAGGTAAGGGCTGTGTTACATTTATTTTTTTATTCATTCATCACTTTTGAATGATCAAAGTGCAATAGTTTCAAATAACGAATTCTCAGATTAATAGGTTTGTTTCTGATTAGTAAGCCAATTAAATCCTAGAGATATTTTTCTCCTTGTAGGTGTAGTGAAATTCCCTTTTTTTCTGATTTGGCCGCATCAATGTATTATAATTTTAACATTTACGTTTTTGCCAGTAGAATATATGCTTATATAATGCTTATGCTGTGTTTTATTATATTATCCAGGGTCAGATGGGTCTTGGATTCCAAGGCACAAAAGGAGAAAAGGTAAGAGTCACCTTTTATACCATGTTATTTATGTATCTTTTGTTCTTAAATTTTTGTTTTCGAACAAAACTCTCGCGACCTAGTTACAAAATATAACAAATCATGTGTCATCATTTGGTAATTAAATGTTATATCGACAAAATATCACTGGAATTTTTATTTCTTGGTGTTTGAGACGAAATATTGAAAATGACATATGACCAGAATTTTGAATTCACTTCTTTTTGAAGATAAATCACATGTATTTGTGGTCAGGAAAGTTTTGTTCATTTCATTGTGTCTGTCAGTTTGTTTGTCTTTGTGTCTATTTCTAATTGTCTGTGTTTGTTTGTTCAGTTGTTTGTTGTTGTGTTTGTATTGTTTGTCTCATGTGTTGTCCTGTCTTCTTGAAGTTTAATCTCACACATAAGTCCAAATTAGCGAACAACATCTATTTATTCATGCATTTGAAACACAAAACACCCAAATTTGAGATTGTTGTATTGGAGGCACTTGGTTCAGTGGGAATTTCATAACACGGTGTTGAACTGACAATCGTTTTCATGCTCCAAACATTTTACATAATAAATTTGCTTCGTTACTGAAAAATTTCTCATTATTGCCAAATTGTCCTACTATGCTGCTTTGCAAGTAGATTAGAACAAGGTAGAAGATAGCTGCTTAATAATCATGGTGTAGCAATGGCTAACATAATTATTAATTTTCCTGCTTGCTGATTGTGATTTTTATTTCTTGAGTGTTAAAAGTTTAGTGTGATTGAAAATATTTCATTGGCTTTCCATCGCTGCTATTATGATTAGTTTGCTGCTGAATGATGCTACCATGTGTGTTTGGCCAACCAGGTTCGAATTAGGTATTTGGAGTTGATAGTTAAATTGATAATTTTGTTAGGCGCCCGAATTAGTGGCAACATTTAGTTCATCTAATCAATGACATGCAGTATCCACTGTTTACAAATGATTGAATTGCCTCCTTGCTCTGAGTAACACTATGAAAAGTAAAAAAAACGTGTGATATTGCATTAATACTTATTTAGTTAGTTTGAATATTAAAAGAGAAACTCGAGAGTGGTTGCAAAATTGGTTTGATTATTTTTAAATATTTATAAAATTTCTAGTTGCCGCAAAAAGAAAAAGGGATTTTGTGCAATCAAATAAATGCTTACTCAAATGTTATACTTATTCAATTTATTGGAATATTGTGCATTTTCGTACAAATAGAAACCTCATTTTGTGTGTGTATGAGTGTGTGCGAGATTGTTTTGTGGTTCTAAAGCAATGGTTCCCAACCTTGAAATAATTATATCAAGCAATGAAACTAGGAATTTTTTGTGAAGGAAAAAGTAAAATCTGTTTTGCACCTAGCATTGTGGCCCCACTTTAACTGCTCTGTAGCCCCCTTGGGGAGCTATGAGCTCTAGTTCGAGAACCATTGTTTTGAAGTGTGTGTTTGTTCACATTATATCATCGTAGCATTTAATTATGTAGTGAATATGCTATATATAATTCATGCTATTAATAATGTGCTTTTGATTTTTGCTTTTTCTTTTCCAAAACCGACCCTGAACCCTCCCAAACTGTTTTAATTTTGCTTTTATTAATTTGATTTGCATGTGCTTCAATGATTTACTAATTACTGATTTATGCAAAAATTTTGGAAACTTCAAATCATGCTTTTGCTTTAATTTATTGACGCTGCTTTAATGCAACTACTAACGATCATACAAACATAATGATTGGGATCAAATTTGGTTGTAAATATAATTTTGAAACAATATTTAAATTATGGAATATATCATCATTTAAATATTTGTGTTTGGTTACTTTGTTTTCAATGAGAATTTAAAATAACATGATGAAATAAAATAAAAAACATTATTACTGCGTTAAAAACTGAAAAAATCGAATGAAAACCATTGACAAATAATTGAAATTAAATTAACCCGTTTCACCAAAATCCCCCAAATTGGCACCACGTTTCCACTCCAACCTTGACCCCTAACCCCACGAACAAATCATCAACACTAAAGGGCGATCGAGGTGACCAAGGCAAGAGCGGACAACCCATTGAAGTTCCCCATACAGGAGCAGCTACAGGGGACGAAACACCTATAGACGGTTTCCGCGTAAGAATCGAATGCAACAAACATTTTAAAAATATACCATAAAACAAGCCATTATTTTTATCTCATTCTGAAAGCAAAGGGGTTAGAGAATGAAACGCATTTACCAATACAACTTAGAAATCTGTATTTACCCACAATTCACCCACATGACATACCTCATGTGTTCTGGCCACCCTTGATGAGTTAAACCAACATCATACAGAATTTTGTAAGATAAACCACTTACATGTTGTGTTTTCCGATAAATGTTGTCTCGGAATTTCTCCAGACGTCTGGTATTTGACAAATGATTAATTGAAATATCACTGCTAAGCTTTTTAGGTTTCTTTCCTTAATATCGGAAACAAAAATAACACTGTGTGTGGCCTCTCCTATTACTTTAAAAAAATACAATAAATTTTAATTAGAGTATGCCAACTAGACTAAATTTCAAAAACAAAAATAATGATACAAATATCTTTGTTCATTGCGCGAAGTCTCGCATCTTACGTGTATTTACTGCACCACCATTTAGTTATGTATGGTTTCAGTATTTTTTGACACTTCAGAGGTAGTTGATGACTTTGCTCAGAGGTGGGAAAATTCCCAATAATATTGTATTTAAAAGATTTTGACAAATGTTCAATAATTCGTCAGAAAAAGCAAAATTTTTAAAACCCAACCTCAATGCTTTCGGAATGAAATAAAAAGTAAGGGTTTCATAAAACCAACACACATTGAATAAACCGCTGACTCATCATATATTTATGTGTTTTGTCTGTCATGTTGTTGTTCATGTTCTTGAATATATGTTGTTGTACTGTTGCTGCTGAAAGTCAGAAATGTTAGTTTGGGCATATCGTTGATTTTCCTTGCATGAAATTATTCTGCACAAGCAAATGAAAGAGCATTTTAGCTATTTTTAAATGTGCAATTTCGTCATAAGGTGGAATTATCAAAATAACGAGATATTTCAAGACGCCAAAATATGTCCAGACTCTACATTTCTGACTACTTTTTGTTTTGTTATTTTATGCTACAAACGTATTCATAAATCTATGATTAGAAGAGGTAAGTATCGAAATGGGGGTCTTAGGATGGTGTTCATCCTATAATGGTAGATATCTAATGGTGGATCGTACATCATCCATGTATATAGTAAATTGTCCTTTATTGCATTATTTGAACAAGCAATGTGAATTTGGCGACCGGTATACATTCACATATTTGATGATACAATCACTTTCAAATTACCCCGACTATGTTGTACTCTAAAATTCAGATTTTCCAGTTTAAGGTCCTATCTCTCCCCCAATCCCGACATTTTTCATTTAAGTTGAAGACTGTCAAATAATAGAAATAATGTATAGGCTACTAAGCAAGAAATATAATATTTGTAAAATTTAATCAGGGTGAATCAGGGTTGCCTGGTACACCTGGTAAGCCAGAGGAACCACAGATTGAACCGGGTTCACAGTTCACCGTGAGTATAAATTGCATGATAATATTTGTTGACGAAGAAATATGCAGAAATAATTTCTTTTTTGTTTTGTTAATTGGCTAAGAAATGGGGCATTGAAGAGTTTTCAAATCTTTATCGGTTTAGAGCATTCTACCAATGTTATGAATAAAAGAATGGATAAAATTGAATCCGTGAAAAGTATTGCAATTTTGCAGGCACTCGAAATGATGCTGGTCGTGGTGTAACACATTACTGCTTTTCAGTAATCTAATGAATTCACTAAACTATACTAGTGACAGTAAAATGGGTTCTGGACTCAGATGACCGGATATAAATGAAGTAATCATTTGATCTCGATAATAATAAATACAACATAAAGCAATATTCGAGATTTCAAATCGGTTTCAATTTGCCATGTGTTACAAAAATATTGGACTTTTGAGTTTTTGCACTCTGCAAATACCTGGTTTTTAATGATCTATTCGAAGTTTACATTTCTAATAAAGACTTCAAAGTTTATTAGTTGTTTAATGGATTATTGATTTTAGTTTATATTTATAATGCCTAATTATAAATTGCATTGAAGCTGTTTTTGTTATATCAAACTGGTAAGTATTGACATTGTTCTGATTTCAAAATGCATTTTACCTTTAAAAAATTATCAGCAGTTTTTCAATGTGTGTTGGTTTGTACTTTATTTTAATTTTACTCATTATTGAATAATTTGATTATATGGCATTTAATGGATACTTGAATACGAACTGTTTAGAAAGTTCATGCTAGGGAGAAAGTCAATCCTGTGTCGAAAGAACTCGTTAAAAACAAAATTTGAAAATAAATTTGTCTTTTGAATGATTTATATAATACATAATGATTTTGTTGCGAAATTTAAGATATCATGAACAGAATTTTCAAAATTTTATAATATTCAACTATTCTGTTATATGAAATCCCATATATGTACCCTTTATATATGGTTTCTACAATGCCATTGGATAGATTCCTTCACTCAAAATATGATATATTACATTGATAGTATGTGTGCCCTGAAAATTCAAGTAAACAAAACCTTAATTCTATAAGTTTGTTAAGTATTAGTTGAACTTACATTTGCTTATTAAACAGGGTGAACCAGGAGACCCAGGACCAAGGGTAAGGTTTATTCTTTATTTTCCATGAATTACAATTTAGTTTATGAATTGTTTTTCTCCGATTTTTTTAAAAGTACCATTTGTGAATCGTGGTACATAATACTACCTTCTAGTTGATCTGCTCTAGATAAGTTTTTGTACAAGTTGTTAGGAATTATGTTGACAACTAGATTAAATTAGTATTCCGGTCATAAATTTTAAAATTGTAAATAAGGTATTGTTCCTTTTTAAAACTGGTTTTGCATGGCGTTTTTGAATAATAACTAATAGCGTAGTTGACTATTATTTTTTCCATAGTGAATCTTCTGTTTGTGGTATAATAATTATTAGTTCTTGTATCTGTCAGTATACTTTTGATTTTTGATAATTCAATGGAAAATATTGTTCATTCATTATTTTTATTTCAACTGATTTCAGGGACCAGCAGGTTCAAAGGGAATGCGTGGCGATACTGGACCATCTGGAGAACAGGTACTTCATATATTTTATTATTTTAGTCTCTATTTATATAGCAGTGCATTTCAACCTTTTTGGTGAATCGAAACCCCAATGTAACATTTCAGAGGAACCCCTGTGCAATAGTGCAATTGTTTTATTGTATAAACGCCGCTTCAGAAGTATGTGTACCAATATGGAGGTAACTAATTTTGTTTGCCTTCTTTACATCAAGTTGCGTGAAGGAACTGAAACCTATGGGCAGGGGGTATATTCAATTGGCTAACACAGACAGTCCCCAAACTCGTAATATAACCAAAATAGGGAAAATCTGAATAAAATTATGGCCTTAGCCTGGTACACATACTACGGGAATATTGTATAAACTAATAAAAAATATGAAAACAAACCTAATACGGGCAAAACAAAATGATCTTTGAAGTGTAGCAAGTTTAATACCAATGGCAAACCTAATAGATATTTGATTATATTTAACAATATACATATATTAATATGGACTCTCGGAACTGGTTAAAAATCATTATTTATATGTTATTTATACATGCTCATTTAGTAAGAATTAAATTGTTTAAATGCTTCATTCTTTATTTCAGGGTTTGACAGGAATGAAAGGACCAAAAGGAGAAAAGGGCGAATACGGACCTCCAGGACCTCAGGTACGTTATGCCATTGGGTTCTGCCTTACAATAATGAATACAAGGATGGTGGACGTTGAGTTTTATCGTCTATTCTTTCTATTATATCGTAAAAGTACGATTACATGTGATGTTATCAATAGACAATTTTGGATTCGCTGGCACCAGTTAGCTGCATTGCATGGAGTGTCGTTTTGGGACAATTTCCAGATAATTTCAATATTAAATCGTATCGTTATTTTACAGAGTACGAAAATTGGAAAACCTGGAATTCCGGGAATAAACGGTTATGACGTAAGTTTATTTTTGATATTTGTTAAAACCATTTTTGGGGTGGAGGCTGGAGCAGGACTGGATTGACCATCAAGCAAAATAAGCACGTGCTTAGGGCAGAACGAGAAGGGGGCACCACAGAAATTTTTACAGGCGAAGTTAAAATAGTGCCACGATGTTAAATGAAATAATTCGAGTTTATCAGAGGACACAAATCTCAATATTGTCCCGGTTAAATTTGTTGAGAATATCATTCCAAAATACTATAAATGTTTGTAGGTTAAAAAAACTATTTCGAAAAATAACGCCAGTTTCATTATTACTATTTTTTGTACATATATGGCACAAAGTCAGTGCTCAGGGCCATGGGTCGAGTTAAGTTGGATACTAGTCGACATTTATCAAATACTCGACCCGAGTGATCTGGAAATAAATGACTCAGTCTTGTAATTGCCTCGAGACTCGATTTCCTGTGACTTGATTTGACTTTTCCCGGGGTTTGGGAACTGGTTATTACTAGTTTTTTATCTTTAATTTTGTTGAGGGGGCATTCAATATCTACAAATTTATAACATGACGTCATATTTACATTTGCCTGAAATGCAAAATTATATTTATAGGTACCCCGGTAAGATACGTACGCTCAGCGCCTGAATATATTTGGTAAAAAGTTGAATTACCAGTACAAGGTTTGCTCTAATAAAATTTCACAAAACCTGGACGCGTGACACCATAATACCCGTTTCCAATCACCATGAGGGTCGGGCGCTCGTGGTATTTACTACATTAGTAAATATTTCATCATTTTAATAAAGACACGCTAAATTATCTCATACATGCATGTATGGTATTTCATTTTCAACAACGAAAAATGTGTCTTAATAGTTCACTATTTGTTCCACAGGGTGAATCCGGAGAACGTGGTACCCCTGGGCGTCCAGGCCGATCAGGACGTACAGGAGACAAAGGAGAGCCAGGTTCAGTTGGACCGCCAGGCCCACCTGGAACATCAGGACTTAACGGAATTGCAGGACCCCCAGGATCACCGGGAGTACCAGGTAACGTTGGCCCAAAAGGTTATCGGGGATTTGATGGAATAAACGGACAACCCGGAGCAAAAGGAGAAGCTGGATTTCCAGGAGAAACTGGAGAAGAAGGACCTGTTGGATTGCCAGGTGTTGGGCTTCCTGGTAGACCAGGACAAGATGGGTTGCCTGGAAAACCTGGTGAGATATTTGTTTTTTTTGCGTGGTCTGTTTTTATTTTCGGCGCTCAAGTAGTGAGTGTATCAATATGGTGGTAACTAATTTCTTTTGCCTATTTTTACATCAAGTTGTGTAAAGGGACTAAAACCTGTGGGCAGGAAGTATATTTATTTGGCTAACACTGACATTCTCCGAATTCGTAATAGAACTAAAATGGGGAAGATCGGAATATAATTTTGGCCCCACCCCTAACCTGATACACAGACGACGGGACTACCCTATTTTTTCTGGTCCGGTCTTCATAACAAATATTGTCAGAAATGATCTGCCTGCACAAATAGCGCAATGAAATGTGGAAATCTAAGCGCTGATTGCTTTTTTCTTGACATGTATTGTTTTGAGTTCATATAAACTTCAAAATGGACTTCGTCCATGTATAAACATAACAATAGCCATACAGGGTGTCCATAAAGTCCCTTTACAATTTCAATTTTGTTATGAAGACAGTTCTTAATATAAATTAATCAGATTTGTTGTTTTTTGATCAGTAATATTTTAAATATTTTTACTTCATTTAATACATCCGTGAGGGCCAAAACAATATATGGTATCAATAAATTCCCTTTTCAATTTTAAAATTTTCAAGACTTCATGGACACCCTATATATGTTTCACTAAATATACAATTTTAATTGAACGAAATATAAATAATAACCATACATCAAATTTGATATGATTTAAACATAAATGAAACAAGATTTCATATCACAGTAGATCATTTTGCAATCCTAACATCTCTGTTGCTTTCCAAATTGAATGAAGAAGTAAAATAACGTCGATTTGTTATAAATCCATCCTATAATATAAATCCTGTATTATTATCACAGGTGCTGTTGGTAATTCTGGTACTCCTGGCAGACCCGGTGAAAAAGGAGACGCTGGATTGACAGGACTGACAGTTCGTGGACCTCCTGGTGACGATGGTCTTCCTGGACGCCCAGGAGTCACTGGCCCGCCAGGATCACCTGGCCCAGTCGGTACCCGTGGTAGAGATTATATCATTACTGAAGAGGACATGTCGAACATGGTCACTCCAGGGAAACCTGGTTTACCGGGACCTCCCGGACCCGCTGGAAGCCCAGGACAACCTGGGGCATCTGGTAAGTCTATTTGATTTTTAAAGACATACTTATATCAGTGATTTTCAACGAGGGTTACGCGGCAAACTATGGACAGTACAGTCCTCTTTTTTCGGACGTTTGAATTCACATCAGTAGTATGTATTAATATATGTACATTGTTTTTAATATAATAATCAAATACTTATTAAATTTGCTGCACTTCGAAGATCATTTTGTTTTGCTAGTATTACTGTGATCTGACATGGGCAAAATACTGCGGCTCGTTGAGTAATTCGATTTGGCCCACCTGATGCTGCCCATGACCGAACTAATACCAAATTTTTATGTTTCAGCAAAAAAATAGGTCGAGAAATTTGTTGAGATTACGAATAAATTTAGCACGATGCTCATTGTTTTCCACTTTTGCTTTTGTAACACTGTAAATATTGTTCATCGAATTTAACTTTTTACGTTACACCTACATGGCCCGCCAGTCTAGGTGGGCAAAATTTTTGGCCCTTGGTCCAGAACCTTGCCCATCCCTGGCTGTGATGGTGGTACACAGTCTAAAACAAGTACGGTTTTGGCGATTATCTCAATATTTCAAGCCTGAATCCACTCTATGATTGGTTAAGTTTTTACATAGTAATTCATTCTAAATGCTAAAATTTTTCTTCCCATTTTAGGACGTACCGGACCGCATGGGCCAAAAGGAGAAGAATGTGGGCTCTGTCCTGTTGGTCCTAAAGGAGAACCTGGAATCTCAGGTCTATCGGGTCTCCCTGGTTCTGCGGGGATTGACGGAACCGTAGGAAAGCCTGGAACTCCTGGAGAAAAAGGATTGGGTGGAATTTCTGGATTGCCTGGAAGACAGGTACATTTGTTTATGTTTTTTAACATGTTTTGCATTTTTGTTTCAAAAAACACTTTTATATTGAAAAGAGGGTACTACAGAAGTATGTGCACCAAGATGGCGGACACCGGAATGTTGTATGTGTACCACTTTATGGTTAGGCCATAATTTTAGGTACAAATACTGCGAGAGTCACTTGGCTGGTCACCGAACTCGTAATAAAACCAAAATAAGGAAAATTTAAATAAAATTATGGCCTAATCCTAACCTGGTGCACACACGACGTTCAGGTGTCTGCCATCTTGATGCACATACTTCTGGAGCGCCGAAAAGAGATTAAAAAAAAAATTTGAAAGTACCTTGAGAGTTAGCAATATAGTAGGTGTCATGATCTAGTTGGCAGAATGTTGGGTTTCAGCTGATTTGAGCGACGCAGATTATAAAGGCTAATTTTGGACCCTCATGCTCATTGTCACTGATTGAAAAATTTGTTTTCAAACTCCCATGCCCCATGCATATTGCCTAATCAAGAATATATCACTTGAGGGATTCAAAACTTTTAAAAACACGTGAACCCTCCCTATTTTTAATTCCTAAATTGAAGGCTCGCTTAGTGCTCTTTTAGGGGCGCTCCAGAAGTGTGTGTATCAATATGGGGTTAACTAATTTTGTTCGCATACTTTACATCAAGTTGTGTAAAGGGACAGAAGCATATGGGCGGAGGTATATTTACTTGGCTAACACAGACAGTCCCTGAACTCATAATAGAACTAAAATAAGGAAAATCGGCCTAACCCTAACCTGGTACACAAACTACGGGAGTACCCTTTTTAGGAGTGAAAGTCCAAACCATTTTATTGTAGCCCCAAGCAAACATTTTGCAAATGTAGATAAATATACTTTGATTGACTCTCACAAACGACTTTTTTTCTTCAAGGGATCACGAGGACCCGAAGGATTTCCTGGAGTTGAAGGATCAAAAGGAGAGCCCGGAGAAAGCACTATAATTGAAATAAAAGGAGAAAAGGGTATGTATTTATCTCTCTGTAGTTTGTTTACTTAGATTACGAAATTTCATTCTCATTATAAGACGCTGTGCTTTCTATTAAAACACTATCTTATTCATTGACTCTGTTGATATTGAATACTTTTGGAAATTCAACCCTTATAGTAATTTTGGCCCTCCAGAAGTGTGGGTACCAATATTGAGGTAACTAATTTTGTTTGCCTACTCTACATCAAGTTGTGTAAAGGAACTGAAATCTATGAGCAGGGGGTATATTAACTTGGCTAACATAGACAAATTGTAATAGAACTAAAATAAGGAAAATCAGAATAAAAACATGGCCTAACCCTAACCTGGAACACATACTACGGGTGTACCGGAATATTTATGTAACATAATTTTATCTCTATTCTTTTGGCCCTTCACATCATGTTAAAAATATTCATAAATTTTGTTATTTTTTTGTTGTATAGCAAAGAAATTGCTAATAGTACAATTTTTCTTCCAGGAAGTCCAGGTCCCAGTGGAATCGCCGGTGAACCAGGAAGGAATGGTCTTCCAGGAAGGTAAGAACCGTTTTATGTTATTCATCTTTCTAAGTGAACAAGAATTTCAAAAATCCTAGGTTGAGGTTTCGAGAAGATTTAAATCTATCTAATTAAGTTTTAAACAAAACTGTTTCTCATTGGATAATTAGCTGGGTTTATCACAATTGTTGCGATGTGAAATAAATAACATTCAGCACTTATGAAGAGCCGGCCTTAATACAATTGTTTCGATGTGAAATAAATAACTTTCAGCACTTATGAAGTTATTTTTCCGTAAAACAGGGACGGTTTTGATGGACCAATGGGCGAAAAAGGAATTCGCGGAGAGGTTGGGCCACCCGGTAGTATGGGGTACATGGGAGAACAAGGCGGCAGAGGGTTGCCTGGTTTACCTGGACGAGATGGACAAAGTTTGCCTGGAGAAACTGGATCTAAAGGAGCAAAGGGAGAGGAAGGAATGAATGGACTACCAGGATTGCCTGGTCAATTAGGTAAGGGGTATTGCTATTTTTACTCTAAATTCAGCCCTTCTAGGGGGCTATGTTTCCAATATATTTTTAGGGAATTATTTCCAATATGTTTTGGGGGGTATATTTCCAATCTAATTTTAGGGGATTATTTCCAATATAATTTTGGGGGTATATTTCCAATATAATTTTGGGGGGTATAATTCCAATATAATTTTGGGGGGTATATTTCCAATATAATTTTGGGGGATTTATTTCCAATACTTTTTGGGGGGTATATTTCCAATATAATTTTTGGGGGTATAATTCCAATATAATTTTGGGGGGTATAATTCCAATATAATTTTGGGGGGTATAATTCCAATATAATTTTGGGGGGTATATTTCCAATATAATTTTGGGGGATTTATTTCCAATACTTTTTGGGGGGTATATTTCCAATATAATTTTTGGGGGTATATTTCCAATATAATTTTAGGGGATTTCTTTCCGATATATTTTTGGAGGGTATATTTCCAATATAAATTTAGGGGATTTATTTCCAATATTTTTTGGGGGGTATATTTCCAATATATTTTTGGGGGATTTATTTCCGATATATTTTTGGGGAGTATATTTCCAATATAATTTTGGGGGTATATTTCCAATATAATTTTGGGGGGTATATTTCCAATATAATTTTAAGGGATTTATTCCCAATATATTTTTTGAGGGTAAATTTCCAATTCATTTTTGGGGAGTAATTTTCCAATATATTTTTAGGTTGCAATATTTCCAATATATTTTTGTTTTTAGAGGTATGATTCTTTACCCACTGTTATTTATAAGGCTTTCTAGGAGGAATATTTCTGTTTTCAGGGGTATTGCTCTGTTATCCACTTCGATTTCTAAGGCTTTCTTTCCATGGTGCAATAATTCCCATTTATATATATATTACTGTTTTAAGGGGTATTTCCCCCACTTCAATTTTGAGACCTTTCTAGGTTCAATGTTTTTTATATATTTCCGTTTTCACAGTTTTATTGACTGTTTATTTGTTAAAACCGCGCTGACGAGATATTAGATAGTCTGTATTATTCTCACTGTTTACCACATCGTACATTGTATGAGACTGTGAATTAAATCGTCGATCTCGTTACCCATAATGTGTACAGGTCCCCTTCTCGCCGCCGTATTGTCGGTTACGGCTTCCTTCACCATCAAGTCATGCATTTGAAACAAAAAACTGGCTAACTAATCCAAAACTCGACAGACTGGTAACCGGACGAGAGGCCATGGTACACCTTATGAAAAAGCCATTTTATGGACATTCCTCTTCCCCGGGATAAATATGAAGATCCTATTCTATCTCAAATCACTGCAAAGATTCGCTGTGTCTAAATTTGTAAAGGGTGGGGTGATTCAGGAACCCTTTTTTCATTGCAAACACATTCACTTTCAGGACCAAAAGGAGAGCCTGCTGCATCACGCATAATCACTGGTGAACAAGGAGAACCAGGAGATTCCGGACGACCAGGATTACCAGGACGAGTTGGTGCTACCGGAGAAAGAGGTAAACAAAGAAAATATTTTGATACTGAACTTTTGATACAAAATTGTATTATAGAGTTAGGATGTTCATAAAGTTCCTTTATAATATCAATTTTGTTATGAAGTCAGTTCCCAATATATATTATCCAAGTTTGTTGTTTTTAATCAGCTATTGTTCAAGTATTTATACTTTATGTAAAACATCTGTGAGGGCCAAAACAATATATGGTATCGATAAATTCCCTTTGCAAGTTTAAAAATATTTAAAACTTTATGGACACCCTATATAACCAGCTTCTATAATTCGGTTAATTGTATCATACTGCATAATCTACGGCAGAAAATAGAGGATAATATAAAGTGTTCTGCTTGTTTAGACTTTGGCTCGTAGCGGGAGACCAAAACGAATTACATATGGTATTGAATTATTCAAATACTTTGTCCATAATAGAGACAGACCAATGCAACTACATTGCTGTTATAAAATGTCGTATTTATTGTGTCAACAATTGTCTTCACTGAGTTAATTCACTTAAGGAATAATGTATTTTGGCCGTTCGTGCATCATGAAACATTATGAAAATCACTAGCAACTCAATCTTCATACATTAATTCTAATCTCGTGGAGAGATGAATGCCAAACTTGTCACATTCTTAAGGTGGCTCACAGAACTGCTGGATGATAACGGCTTTCTTTACCATGCAGTCAACGCATCTATGAAGAATGACTGATTAACTATTTCCAACTATTTTGTGAACCCTCCTTACAGTGATTACCCTACACCACCCTGTGAACACCCGCCTAAAATTTCTTAACCCCCCCCCCCCCCCCTACTTTTCAGGTGTGACACCATACCTTAATTCTTAACGTAAATAAAAATGTATTTAAATATTCAGAATGTAGCTCATATGTCGATGAAGATGATCAGTCAATACATAAAAGATATTTATCATAAGTTACAATAACAAGATATAAATCCTTGGGGAACACGCTGCTTCCTCACCACCGTGATAAATGGGAATAACAATTTTTATTTCAATTTAATTTAAATTTTCTAGGTCCACCAGGTTTAGAAGGACGAGCAGGATTACCAGGCGAGAAAGGTCAGAGTGGCCCACCTGGATTACCCGGTCTTAATACCAGAGGACTACCAGGTGAAAAGGGTTACAGTGGAATGTCCGGTCTTCCTGGCAGATCTGGGTACAATGGAACAAGAGGTTTGCCAGGTCAACGAGGGTCGATAGGCATGAAAGGCTCTCAGGTAAGAAAAAGTCTGCTATTTTAATGGCTATTAGGACGTAGATAGATACTCCTTTAAGATAGTAGAAATTATAAAAAGTTCAAGAAGAATCAATCATTTAAGGATATGATTGAAAAATGCATTTATGAATAATTTTTTTTTTAGGTTTTGGGTTGTTGATGGGCGCCAGATGCTTCCAGTCACTTCTTTTCTCCTGTTTTTTTTATTGGCCTTAGCTGCTGCCTTGGTTTCTTTCACATTCCCGGCCTTGATGTAATGACATTTTTATCTCCCTTTGCAGTATGGAGATCAATTACCCAAAATACCATTCTCACCGCTCACCCATTGTGTAACAAATTGAGTAGGCAATTCCTTGATAAGTTCCAGTCTTCCCAAATAAGCTAACATAGTATACATAGAGCCAATCCATGATTCCAATTACTTTTTCACATATAATTTTGAAAACGGTATCCAACTTTGATGACGTCATGTTTGATGACGTCATACTTGATGACGTCATTACGACCACAATTGTTCTTGTTATTTTTTCTAGTAGACCTATATGTTAATAATTAGAATGATTTTTTCAGGGTGAACCAGGAATTGGACTTCCAGGTTTAACTGGATATCCAGGAGAAGATGGCGAACCAGGTTTACCAGGAATGCAAGGAGAACAAGGGTTGCCAGGTTTGAGCGGAATAAATGGCCTTCCAGGACGCGATGGATCTCCCGGCAGACAAGGTACTTTAATTTGAGAGAACTTTTCCATAAATTTCTATTGAAGGAAAATTCACTACCCGTGTTGTATTTCTGTACCAGGAATGCATGTTTCTCTGTGATTACCACAGAATCTTGAAGTTCGAAAAACATGGTATTGTGTGCAATTATTTTTTAGTTGTATTGTTGACTGCATATAATCTGGTGAAAATATCATTTTGCACTCTACGCTTACGGTAAATAAACAGAATGGAAATAAATATCAAAAACAAGTTTTTAGTATATTTTTCTCCGGAAAAACTGTTCTTATTTGGTGTAGCTGTACCTAAATCTAACCACCTTGGCCTAGTAGCTAAAACGTGAGACTTAAGTATGTTGGAATCAGGGTCGGGTCAAATCCATGCCCACCAACCCACCCAGGGTCTCATAAATTGGGTAAGCAATATATTGATTGTTACGTACAGCGCCTAGTTTAAAACGAAGCACCGTATAAACAAAACAGTAGACTGATATCCTTTTCCCCTTTTTCCAAGCAAAGTAACTGAAGAACTTTACTGGATTTTCATTTACAACTTGTTTAAAATTTAGGTGTCAGAGGAAATATTGGACCTCCAGGACCGGCTGGTGCTAAAGGAGAAATCGGTGAAGGAAGACCAGGGCCAGCCGGACCTGAAGGACAAAGAGGATTGCCAGGTCTTACTGGTGGGTATCATATGAATTTGATCATTTGAATGTGATATAAGTAATGAGATCTAAGAAGCAGGTGCACTAAAAAGCACGGAAATATATTTTCCCCTCTTGCCCGCACTTTTTTCAAACTTGCCTTATTTTTTGAAAATTTCCTGAACTTGTACCAAGTTAGTGACCCTTGCCACACATGTTCTACAATGGTCCTAAAATGAAAGGCCGCAAAACATCATAATATGCAAATTCCCGTTAGTTTGTACTAGTATCACATAACAGCAAGAACACTCCCACTAACTGATTGCTATTGATGCAGGTGCAACTGGGCTTCAGGGACCACGTGGAGACCCCGGACCTCCAGGTCGAGATATGGTAGGACAGAGAGGTGACGATGGGGACGAAGGCTTACCAGGGGTCAGAGGTGAATCTGGTGATCAAGGAGAACCGGGAATACCAGGACTTGGAGGATTACCAGGTGGTAGAGGCGAGAAAGGAAACACTGGACCACCAGGACGACCTGGACCTTTAGGATTGCCAGGCACTGAAGGTATAGAAAGGAGTAGATCTTTTACCTGAAATTCTACCTTCTCAATGCTTTGTAGGGTACAACTCACATCGCACAGCACAATTCAATATTGGTATTATGACTGAGTTGGTTATAAGGGGAATGTATATAAAGTTATATAAACGTCGGTTATGCCCTCCCTCATCATGGACTTGAACTCTTATTTGCTATTCTTCCAACAGTTGGAATACATGGTTAGGAGTTCCATTTAAGTTTTACCCACACAAAAAATGCTACGATTTTCGGTGCCGGTTTAGAATCTACAGATCTACTGTTGTGATTACTGTAATGTCCATGAAATATTGCTATATTCTATGCCTTAAATTTGGTCTATGATGTAACAATATCAGGTCATCTAGTGATCAAGTCTAGGCCATGTCATGGGACATTCTAGAACTGGTCCACTTGGCAGACATGTGTTGTAGTTGTATTTACTTTCACTTAAACCTGTGTTACTTGGATTCAAGCCCTTGAATATTTTACTTACCAGATTAAAGTATCAGCATAACATGCAATAAAATGGTTGGTAAAAATTGAATTTGAAATCAGGAGAGCAAACAAAACTTCTGATAAGGTTTAAAACGTACAGAATATAATAATGGAAGGTTTGGCCAAGCAGAAGTGGTACGTGTTCACTCACCTAAAATAATTGCACCCACACACACACACACACAACCACAGAGAAGTTATAAAGCAAGAAGATTGCGATAAATTACATACTGGTAGTAAACAAAAATGAATAAATACAAATTACTTGCCATATCATATTTATAATTTTATAATAGTTGACACTGCCGAATTGATCGATTTTTTTAAAAAATTTTTATCATTCTATCAATAATTTCAAACCCAAACCAAAAAACCAGAATGACTTGATATCCAAAGTGAAATGTAATCATGCTCTTTATTGTTCTTGCTACTAAAATATAAATACAACCCTCTGTACCTTAGGACCTGTTGGACCACCTGGCGATCCAGGACTTCAAGGAGAAATTGGTGCTGATGGAATTCCTGGTCTTCCAGGCTTACAGGTATGCTGCTAGATATTCTAATTTTTGATGCAGGACTTTATATCTTTTTTGATCTCTAGAGTCTCTAGAAACATAACTGAAACAACTATCAGTACAGTAGAGGTTGCGCGAGACTAACTCCCAGTCCTTATTCAATGCCTTGGCGCTAGTGGATCCGTATGCATATAATGCAAGGATGCTGTAGCAGGAATAAAAAGACCATACTATGCAATTCAAGAGTCCTGCTGCACACTAACACATTTGTATTTCTGTAACGTTTCGTCTGACCAAGATCAGACTTCCTCAGAGCAGTTTACAACAATTGTTGACCAATGGATTGCATATTTGAAACATATGTGTTATTGTGGATGAAAGTTATTTCAAATAATGACCACATGTACTCATTAAAACGTCATTAAACAATGACCCAAAGTTTCTTCGGTGTTGGGAGTTATCTATATTACAAAACAAAAGGAAACACCACACTAAAATATTTGATTGAGCTATTTTTACTTATTCCGGGTTCAAGATCAATAAATATTTATTGATTTAGATTGGTTTCAGGGGATTCTGACTTCGAGATAATTTATTCTAATTCCAGGGTGAAGTTGGCCCCACGGGTCCAAAAGGAGACATGGGGACAAAAGGAGAGCCCGCTACATTGGATGATAATTCTAGCTTGACTGCTAAAGGAACGAAAGGAACCAAAGGTGAGATAACTTGTCATAATATAATTAGGAAACTTAAAACGAAAAATGAACTACCTCAAAAGTTTATGAGTGGCCACCATTATATGTTGTATCCCAAGTGATTGACATTTGTTAAAGTGTCGATTCCTTGTTTATCTTCTTAACAACTATTGTATATTTAATCAGGGGGTTGTTTTGAGAGGCGAAACCCCCCCCTTTTGAAATGTGAAAAAAAATAAAAGCATCTTTTTCTATCATACATAGCACTATTTTTCTAGCTTTAACCATACTAATTCAACCATATTAATAATGGTGCGTTCTAGGCATGTCCAAATACAACATTCTGGACCGCAGTTCCCAACCTTTCCAGCGCTATATGAACCCGTTTGTGATGGCTGAAGGCTCTGTACCCTTTAAAACATGTCCATCAGTTTTTTCACGCTGAATTATCAAAATTTATCATAACCAGATATAAAATCTTTTGATGGTTAAGTATACGGAGTCGCGGGAGTGGACGCATTTGTGTTCATGGAAGGGTTATGGGGTTATATATTTATTCGATTGTATTTGGACTTTCTCGTTGTTACACTTTTTAACCTAAAGCCTGAATCATTATATTTAATTGTTCAAAAGTCATCAAATGCTCATATTTTTGTCAGGTGAACCGGGACTTTGGGGATTATCTGGTCCTCCTGGACAAGATGGCCCAGAAGGACAAAAAGGACGTGCTGGCCCCCCTGGTGCCAAAGGCATGACTGGTCTTGCTGGAATCGGAATTCCTGGACGACCAGGACGTGATGGCAGACACGGTAAGTCTATCACATTACAAATTTGCTAAAATAATGGTCGCTTCATAAAAATTTCGACATCGAAACACGACTTTGTAAGACGTCAATAATTATATAAAATTTTTTTTTTAACGCTTTGGGCAATCTCGTGTCAATTTTATGCATATATTTCGAAGAAAAGCCTTGAGCCACAACTGAAATGAATATACCAGGTTGGGGTTACGCCATTATTTTATTCCGATTTTCCTTATTTTAGTTCTATTACAGGGACTGTCTGTGTTAGCCAAGTGAATATACCGCCTGCCCATAGGTTTTAGTTCATTCACACAATTTGATGTAAAATAGGCGAACAAAATTAGTTATCTCAATATTGGTACACATACTTCTGGAGCGCCTTATAGGCAACATTTCTCGGCATAGCAAAATACTTTGTATATTCCTATAGGAACCCCTGGACAGAAAGGAGATACTGGACCAGCTGGATTTATTGGTGGACGTGGTCCTAAAGGTATGCAAGGTTTACCAGGCATCAATGGACGACAGGGACCACCTGGACCAGTTGGAAGACCAGGAGAAGATAGCATTGTTGCTGGAGAACCAGGGAAATCAGGATTACCAGTAAGTGACCATAGGGGGCTGCAAAGTATGATGGGAAATTTACAAATGATTCTTAACTTTGTCTTAAAAAAGCCCACTTAAATTCGACCAGGCTGCCGACTCCGCATCGGACTTTAACTACAGTATTTATTAGAATATTTAATTTTGCTCTCTCCAGGGAAAAGACGGTCTCGATGGAATTCCTGGCCTTTCTGGCGACGATGGCGAACCAGGATTACCGGGACGTCAAGGTGAAATTGGACCCCCCGGACCAAAAGGCAGTGGTGGAGTAACAGGTTTCCCTGGTGTTCGCGGAGAAAAGGGTGAAGCGGGACCACCGGGACCAGGTGGATTGCCTGGTTTGGGAGGAAGAGACGGACCACCAGGTTAGTTGAAGTTATTGAATTCCGTTCAAAGCATGAGCACCAACATATAAGGCTGAGGGCTGATTTATCAGTAAAATTGATGGAAATTCGAAAACATTTACAAAATCGTAACAAAAACTAGATTCAAATTATAAAATAGATAAGAGAGAGAGAGATTTTATTTTCACAAAACAATGTTGAAAAAGAACCACAGTACAGATTTTCATGAAAATACAGTGCAGTGAATATTTAAACATTGAATTGTGATGCTCAGTATGCAAGACTTTTACAGGCTTCTGACCATTTTATTTACGCTGTGGTCAAACTGTCAGCATTGGATTATCATAATATGAAATTATAAAATAAAGACAGAAAAGACTTTGATGATTGAGTGCATTGCTGATGATAACACACATTGACATCATGTTAAAATGACATTTAATGATTAATGTTTCATTGATATAAACTGATCCTATTTAGTCGTCTGAGATCTCTTTTCTATGATTATTAGACTTTGGACGCAAGCAGCTATTGGTATGACGCGACCAAAGTATTTTCAGTTAGACATGACGTGAGGTTTTTTATACAACGTTTTGTTCCCGAACAAAGATCTGCACAAACAGCAGAGGTCGCCCGCTACCCCCTTTAAAAATTATACAAAAAAACATTTTCCTGTTTCATACATGGCAATTTTTCATAGCTTGAAACGTGTTTTAGACCAACAAGACTATTAAAACCCCACGTTTTCAGTCCTTGGGCCGGACCTGCTAGCTGTTACGATCTAACTTGGGAATTAGAAATTTCAGAACCTCTTAGAAAATCCTGGCTTCGCTCCTGGCGGGCAGTCACCTTAGGATAGGAGACACTATAGTTTTATAAATTCAAAGTCTTTTTGGTTCGGCATTGCCAACCCATTTTATTACTCCCTGGACCAGATGTTGGTCATGGAAATGCTCATAAACCTCGAAATTTTAGTTGAGTTAGGAATACGACTGCCATCACACCTCTGATTACACTGCGTGGATTCGCAGGTTCGAATCCCATGCGGGGATAGTTATGTGCGATAGGATTTGCTGGATTTCTCGTTGTCGTAGGGTGGTTTACGTGACTTCTGGTCGGTTACGGCTTCCTCCACCATCAAGTCTGTGCATCTGGAACAAATACCTGGCTACATAATCCCATACCCGACATAGAATGGTAATCGGACAAGAGGTTGGGGTTTGCCATATAATTTCCCCCGGAATAAAAATGTAAATCGGGTACACACGAGTGATCTTGTATACAAAACTCAAACTCATTTTCAGGTCCAGCCGGCGAAAGAGGTCCGAAAGGTTCTATAGGACAGCCAGGTTACGCTGGAAGAGATGGTTCACCCGGTAGAAACGGTGCGGCTGGAGAACCTGGGGAATCAGTAGCTGGACCACCGGGACCAGCTGGGCGGGTTGGCATAACCGGACCAAAGGGTGAAGTTGGACCAGTTGGACTTGTGGTGAGTCGTAATCTCAAAATTTGTAATTGTTCCTAAAATGACCCGATTAGAGGTGTTAAATTGCTGAATTTTCTGTACTGATGGTTTACCTTTTTCGGCATTGGTGTTATTCATAGTAAATCATATTTTTTCCCGCCAAGTAAAAAAGTAGCAAAATTTGAAAGATTTAATTTTAACGTACATTTCAACCAGCTTTGGTCACAGGAAACCAAAGCTGGTTATTGCGCACTCAAAGTTGAAATCATTAACTGTCAAAGTACTGTTATTTTTGATCAGCGTATGTATGTATGTAAATGCGTTTGCAACAAAATAGAATATTGAATAAAAAAGTTTTGCAGTTTTTTCTTTACTTGGACTTGTGATTTTTTATTTGAGTATTAGGTACTTTTGAATGGGTTCTTGCATATTGCCTTAAGAAATGGCGTGAAATCTTTGGAAAAAAACTCATTTAGAACATTTCCTATTCTTCTAACTATTTCTATTCTAACTAACTGCTTCTATTAACTTAAACATTACTGCTATGCTAAAATAGAACAACAACTCACGAGTAGTGGCAACCTTGATTCATGTTAACCCAATGGCACAAGGCTCGTTTTACCACAGGACAAATAACATCTTCAGATCTCTTGGCAATATTGCCACATTAGATGTCGCTAATTCAATTTCATCACAGGAAATACTTATAAAATAATCGTATTTTCAGGGAAGAGACGGACCGATAGGAGAAAAAGGCGAACGTGGATTTCCGGGATCTGAAGGACAACGAGGGTTGCCAGGTTTGATCGGACAGCGAGGTTTGTCTGTCAAGGGTGAATCCGGTAGCCCAGGATTGCCAGGAAGAAGCGGTCCAAAAGGTAAATATATTATTTGTCGGACTTTACATAAATTTTGAGTTATAGAAAAGCTTGTGTTATTGGTTGGGTTTCCGGGGGACTAACTACCTTTCCTTGCTTTAATCTGAGCATTTGTGGGAGTGGATCCATATGCATATAATGCAAAGATGCTGTAGCAAGAATAAAAAGGACCATAGTATGCAATTCAAGAGTTCTGCTGTGCACTAACACAAATATATTTCTGTGAGATTTTGCCTGACCCTAGTCAGACCCCCAGACATGTATAATTTACCCGTTCAACATATTTATAAAAAAAATTCTTGTTTGCGTTATTCTTATGATCAGAACGCTGTTAGTGCGGTATTTTTATTACATTCACCTCCTTTTTTTCTTCGGGTTCAATGTTGATCTAATGTATCTCACTTTGTTTATTAGTTCCCCTGGTGCTATTTTTGTTAGATTTACTTCCTTTTTTTCTTCCGGGTTGAAAGTTGAATCTAATTCACCCTACTTTGTCTATAGGTTCCCCTGGTGCAGCTGGTATTGTCGGATTGCCTGGTCAACTCGGTATCAAAGGAGAAGTGGGAGAGAAAGGTTTGCCTGGTTTCAATGGCTTGGCAGGCCAAGAGGGACCGAAGGGAGTTACTGGACCTCGAGTAAGTCAATAAACATTGGATTTTTCACTAGCACATTTGTTGTTGTTCTGAGCGTTACCGGTATGGAAGCTTTCAGATTCAGATATTTATTTCACCATGTAAGAATCATTGTAAAGCAATAAACGCACACAATAAATAAAATAAAACTAACAAAAACGAGACCTCGGTGAATCATCTAGTCAGAGCCATTTTAATTCAAAAAGAAAATCTATCGAAGAAACAAGTTTTTGAAAAAAATAACTAAAAAACACAATCATTAAGAGAACAACAAATTAGAAACAAGGGGAATGAAGAGAACCATCATGATTTATTCCATATATATGCTGTTAACCTCCAATGAGAGAATCATTGGTATACTAGAGATTTATGGGGGTTGGCATATCTTCTCAGCTCTAAACTTTTCACCTTAATGGGTTGTTTTATGCAAAAGAATGAGTGTCTGCTTGTATAGATACTTTTTCTATGCTAAAATACATGAATAATAACAATGGCATGTCATCGCCTTGATTTATCGGGCCATTTTGTGCGCACATTTTAATATGCATTCACATCAAATTTGCTGTATTTATGTAAGCAGTATTATAGCCACCTATGGAGGAGGCCTTTCAAATGATGATTAAGATTATTTCTATTTCTAGCATTATTCCCAATGATTGATCATTTTTGCGATTATTGTTGAACCAAACCTGCTGTTTATATGACAATCCAAAATGTTTCATGACTATTGGGACAACATATCAATTTCTAATCTTTTTTTTTTCTTATTTTTAGGGTCTTCCTGGTCTTCGTGGTTTCCCAGGGGAAAAGGGAAGTCAGGGCGATGTCGGACTAATCGGATACCCAGGACGGGTCGGTGAATCTGGAGAACCAGGGTTGCCAGGTTTGAATGGGCGCGAAGGCAGAAAAGGAGACAAAGGTTTGTCCAATAATAAGATTCAAATATATAGTGGTATATCATATTAGAAAAGACAGATGATCTGGCAACATTACAAAATATACCTATTTTACTTCGGTAAATGCCTGTAATTACCAATGGAAGGGCTGTTATTTGTTTTACTGAAAGTCTCCGGTAAAATAATTTCAAAATTACTTTTTTTATACTGTAATTTTGCAACGTTTTTTTTTTTATTCCAATATGATTCTATGTTAGACTTCCTCATAGGAGACTATGATCGATAAACCATTACTGGTTTATTGTAAGCAAGTGTAAGTAAGTATTTATTTCGATTTTCCGCCACAACAAAACAATAAAGCAATACATGGCAACACAAATGAAACAAACATACAGAAAATCAGGAAAGTGGGCAAAATCGCACGTGCCCACTCACCCCAAACAGCAAACAATACATTGCGTCTGACTTCAGGTTGTAAATGGAGTTGTAATTTCATGAAATTTTACTCAGGTGTCATCGGACCTGCTGGAAGCGATGCAGCACCTATTATTAGAGACGGCCCGGAAGGCCAAATCGGAGACACAGGGCCTGAAGGTTTGGCAGGGCCACCTGGTCCTCGCGGGCCATCTGGCCCCATTGGTAACACCGGATCGAAAGGAGAACCTGGATTTGATGGATTGGATGGACGCCCTGGAACACCAGGAGATCGAGGAGAGCCCGGAAGGCAGGGTCCTGTTGGTAAGTTCAAGTTAATTTTTAGTAATTATGTTATTGGAAATAGTAATTCTTGGATATGAATTAAATAATAATCATGCAGACAATTTACAATCCATTATAAAATGTTGCTCTGACAATCGAGTTAGTGTATATGAAGTCCGTTCATCGGAAACAAATCACTAGCTAACTAATCCATCCCGACATGAACTGGTAACCGGATAAGAGACCGTGGTTTCCCATATAATTGATTGCATTATGGACTTTCCTCTCCTCGGGGTAAATGTGTAAGTCCTATCCCAGTGGTTCTCGACCTTTTATGGCTCGTGGCCCCTTAGAAGGCTTTTAGCACTCAAACAATTTAAACAATTCATGCTCAATATTGGGATACACCCTGTGAAATAACCTTGTCAAGCAATGGAACTGGAAAGAACGGGAAGCTTTTTTTGTAAAGGGAAAAGTAAAATCAGTTTTGCATCTAGCATTGTGGCTCCCTCTTCAACTGCTCTGCGGCCCTCTTGGGGACACCGGCCTCCTATACTATGTCAGATATTGATTCTTGTTCGTTGTCCCCAACTACCCTGGAAAAGTGACAACATTTTACTCGCCCTTACCATATCAATAGAGACTTGGAATAAGGAAATCTCAAGTAAATAATTTTGAAATAATCGTTTTTATTGCTCCGGATTCAATTTCTTTGTTGTTATTATTAAGGTTTCACTGGACCAGCTGGACGCGACGGTCGACCAGGAGTTCCAGGTCAGCCTGGCGATTCAGGAATTTCTATTCTTAATCACGGATATTTTTTGACGAGGCACAGTCAAACAGCCGACGTTCCAGAATGTCCAACTGGTATGCTAAGAATGTGGGCAGGATATTCTCTCTTATTCTTGCAAGGAAATGAGAGAGCTCACGGGCAAGACTTAGGTGAGTTGACGACACAAAAATTATGAGAGAGAGAGCAATAGTTACCGTGCAAGTATGCGTTTGATTTGAGCTTTTGTGGTTAGTGTTCACACCTATCTATTGCGTAACACTGCCGTTTGTCGTATTTTGATGCAAATTCTCATAATATGTAACAGTAAAGTAACCACTCAAGACTTATTTTAATTTTCTTTCGAGAAATAACACTAGGGCTTATTTTGGGGATGTCAAGGAGAGATTTCTTGCTATCGACTAGGTCAAAAAATTGTACGCTTTCGACTGGGTCTTATTTTAAAGTGAGGGGCTTATATTGAAATCAGTTTCAAAATTCAGGCTAGGTCTTATTTTCTGGGAAACACGGTATGTTGAAGATTATCCCTGAATCATTGATAAATCATCAATATCATTCAAAATAGTAATTTATAAATTTCAATATTTCAGGACAAGCTGGTTCATGCATGCGTCGATTCAGTCCAATGCCCTTCTTGTTTTGTAACGTTAACGACAATTGCAGAGTCGCATCAAGGAACGATTACTCATATTGGCTTTCAACACCAGAACCTTTCCCGATGTCTATGGTGGCTGTAACAGGTAAGTTGACTATATATCAGACATGAGCAAAGTACGACACGCAGGCCAAATCTGGTCATTGGGTAATTCAATTTGGCCCGCCTGATGCTGCCACAACCAAACTAAAATCAAATTTGATGTTTTACCTAAAAATATCTCGAGGAATTTGTTGAGATTGTGGTTAAATTTAGTTTTGGCGTGGGGAATATTGTTTTCCACTTTTGCTTTGTAACACTGTAAATATTGTTCATATAATGTAACCATTTATGTCACACTTACATGACCCACCAGTCTAGGTGGGAAAAATGTTTGGCCCCTGGTTCAAAAACTTTGCCAACCCCTGCCATGTAATTTGTAGAAAAAAACCTTGAACTTGAGTGGAATTGCCTTATATCTCACTGTACTTCATTTCTATACCTCTTGAACTTCATTTTTATTTATCTTTCTCATTTAACAGATGGAGACATTGAACCGTACATCAGCAGATGCGCTGTATGTGAAGCACCTTCACTAACACTCGCTGTCCATAGTCAATCTGACATCGTACCGGATTGTCCTGATAACTGGGAGAGTCTATGGATCGGATACAGCTTTGTAATGGTAAGTTGCAAGATTTCTGTTAATGTTTAAAAATTTAATTTTTGCCATGACGACAAAAAATGGCTGTAGCGAATTGGTAAAATAACGTGGTTTAGTGTGTGCAATTTTACTGGTTCTAGGAAACTTCGCCACAGGAAATTTTTTCATAGGAAATCTAGAAAAAACTATGGTGTGGCCAAGCGTTTCCCCTAATATTTGGTTTAGTAATGAGCTAAGGTTGTCGCCGACGTTTCTTTCTTCTCGTGGAATTTTCTAGCATCAGGGGGTGTAATCGGTTCCCATTGGGGAATTGTTTAAAGTTAACAAAACTCAGGAGGAACAAGCCCCTGAAGAAATATGAAAAAAATATAAGTAGCGGTTGAGAGACTTCTTTATTTTTATTTTTGAAATTTTCAAAGGTTATTTTTTAGCAGTTTTGTATACCAAATTTGTATATGCAGGGTGTCCATAAAGCCCCTTTACAATTTCAATTTTGTTATGAAGTCAGTTCTCAATATATCTTAACCAGGTTTGTTGTTTTTCAATCAGTAATTGTTCAAGTATTTATACTTCATTTAATACATCTGTGAAGGCAAAACAATCTATGGTATCGATAAATTCCCTTTGCAATTTTAAAAATTTTCAAGACTTTATGAACATCTTATATATTTTGCAGCACACAGCAGCAGGCGCAGAAGGCAGTGGACAATCATTGCAATCTCCAGGTTCTTGTCTTGAAGACTTCAGAGCGGCTCCATTCATTGAGTGCCACGGGAGAGGAACTTGCAACCAATATGCGAACGGATACAGCTTCTGGTTGGCTACTATATCACGAGATCAACAATTTAAGTAAGTTCGTCTTAACCTAAATTGCTGACCCAGAACAGAGACGGGACTGTGTAGTTCAAACCTTTCTGAGGATATTATTTCCATATATATCCCCAGGCCTGTTATCGACATGCCTTGTAAAAAATGTAAATGGGATAGGCTATATGACTGCAGTGTAACTGGAATGATTTCAGTCTTTCAAAGACATGATACCTCGCTAAGTAGCAGCTTGGCTGAAGCATTATCACAAAGTTCACAAAAAATGAAGCCTTTAGAGCTAATATCTGAATTTTTTCTATAATGAATTATGCTGCTTAGATTGAATCATCAATTTTGTGACTGAACGATTGGTCATTAATACATTTTTTTTTTTTATTTCATAGAAAACCTGTCTCAGAAACGTTAAAGGCGGGAGATTTGAGACAACGAATTAGTCGATGCGTTGTTTGCATGAGAACTCACACTGGTAACGATTCCCCAACAATCGTACGTCCTCCAATAAGGCCCCAACCACCACGAGGCCCAACAACAGGATTCTTTGATGAAGAACTTCCGTAAAGCGAACTTTGGACATAAATTGCCAAATTTAAATACTATTGCATTGTGGATAAAAATAGAATTATGGGAAGAGAGTTGATGATTGGTAACAGTCATGATATATTTTAAAGCCAGATGAAACGTTTTATTTATATTTTCTATTTTCAGGATTTCCTCCTGAAAAGGTTGAAATTTATCAAAAAAAATAATTCACCAAGGACCACAAGCATCTTGTTTTTGCAATTTATTTTTCTTCCTTTCTATTTTTTTTGCTTACATTTTTATATCATCGAATTAAACAGCATAATATGAGCCTTTTCTCATTATTTTTGTGTATTATTTTATGTTTATTAAATGTTTGTTTGTTCTGTCATTATTTGTTTTGACAATCTTTGGTAACATAGCAGATGACACCGCACAAGTGCCTTCGACTGAAGTGTGGCATCAATTTCGTGCCACCATCTTAGAACATAGCAGATGAAACCACACAAGTGCCTTTGTGGCATCAAAATTCGTGCCACCATCTTACAAATTTATTACTTATAGATTCAGTGTTTTAGTATCGTTTCATTGAGTTCTACTGAAGCTTAATTTCAATATCTTGTCTCTTGTACTATAATCAAATGTTAATAATCAATTTTTCACTAATTTTTCCTGAAAATAGCACGGAAAACTGTTTGCCCATTTGCAGAGTTGCTAGTATTCACCAATTTTCATATTCTTCGTATAGAAAAACAAAATTGCGAATATTCAACACTCATATTTGCCTGTCGTTACAGAACCGCCAGCCATTCTGATTGGATCGGACAACATTTTCAAATTTTTGTTTAAGTGAAATATCAAAATTCATAATGCTATCGAAAAATTTAAAAAATGCTCTTTTAACAACATAAAGGCATCTTTCGGGACAATATAAGTTAATCTGTCATATTTACCGTCATTTACCATTCTTCCACTAACCTCTGCGTGCTATTAATCACTTTGGTTCATTTCCTAATGATTTTCCGAACTTAGCTTAGTGCATTGACTAACACGTGTAATGTCTTTATACATAGCCTGATCTCGATTACCTACTCAATCCGCCAAAATCGCAATTTTGAAACTTGTAAAAAGTGTGGAAATAATGAAATTATAGATTTATTAACCAATTTTTTAATCAAAACTTGAGAAAAAGTTTTTTTTTGTGATTCATTGACAAATAATTCTTTAACCATAATTCCCAGTAATTCAATAAATAAAACTGAAAAAAAATCATGTTAAGATCTAGAAAAATTGATCTTTATCACCGACATATTATCAAAAAAATTTAAGCGAAATAATAATGACGTCACCAAATGTCGTCATACGTCCGTTTCATATTAATTTAGAAACATGGATAAATTTTTCAAATATAGTATCATCTCTGTATTGAAATTTGTCGATAATTGTAATCATTTGATATCTATAACATGCTTGTTTGACATCTGCTTTTAAATGATTTGTTGCGTCATAATAATTACGTCGCAATCAACCATTTTCATTCTCTATTACAGTAAACGCCTTCTTTTAACTATATGTATACAATTATGCCTTATTTGCGTATTTATAACCGAACCTCGATTCCATTGTGGCTCTTTAAATTTGGTCATAGATTATATATTTAGCAAACTCTTTGGAACAATATCATCCTTTATAAATTATAAAAATTAAGTGATTGAGCCAGCTTTAAATTTCTGTTGTCTAAAAAGTAATTTACTCCATTACTTCCGCTTTTTTCAATATTAAAATTCTGTAAAAATTGTGATTTTTTAATGCCCTATGTTGCACTAGTTTGATTTAAATATTTGTGAAGATTAGTGCCATAAAAATTTCGGCGCTCCAGAAGTGTGTGTAACAATATGAAGGTAACTAATTTTGTTCGCCTACTTTACATCAAGTTGTGCAACGGGACTGAGGTATATTCACTTGGCTAACACAAACAGTCCGCGAACTCGTAATAGAACTAAAATAAGCAAAATCACAATGAAAGTATGGCCTAATTCTAACCTGATACACATATTATGGGAGAATCAAAATTTCTTTTTAATCTACCGCATGCCTATCATAATGATCCTAAATGAATTTGCGACGTTAGTACTATACGAATCGTGTCACATCGACTTGCTTTACGTATACAAAAATATATTGAATTTATTTGTACTATTTTTATCTGAAATATTTGTTGAATTTTGACCACAAAACGTGGCCATTTCTATGTACAACCTCCAAAGTTACATACATGGAATAATAATGGATTTGTTTGTCTGTCTATCTTTATGTCCGACGTTTGTCTTTCTGTCTTTATGTCCGGTGTTTGTCTGTCGTTCAAATAGTCTTGTTGTTTTTGTTTATTTTATTTTATTCGTATTACTAGGCTAAGTATTAACTTTATGGATTCGAAGTTTCGTCAGAATATTGTCGGGGCCATGTAAAATCAGATATAAGACCTATATGCGTTTATGTTTTGTTTTGAATGTTAAATACATTTGTCCCGAGCATGGCCCGAAATAGAACTTGAAAGCCATTTTGACTCGAGCCTATTCGGGTCTGAAGGAAAATATTTGATAAAAATGTTATTACAACGAAGCAGCATGTTGTTTTCAATAAAACGTTCTTCTTTATATGTGAGAACGTATTTTTTCTGTTGAAAAAAGTGGCAGGACATTTTTACGTGTTCATCCCGATATTCTGTTTATTTCAGGGAGTTATTTACATAACATAAATGAAAAGAACAGAAAAAAAAGTAATGTTAGACAAAAAGGCCTCTAAATTAGAGTTCGGTTGAATCGTGGAAGAAAATCGTGCATTTTCAGAAAAGGGTTCGAGTTTAAATGGGGCTGTAGTTAGGTGCTCGAGATTTTCAATTTGTGTTATATGGAAAGCTATTTTTAGTGGGTTTTATAGAGTATTCTATTATTGAAGGTGTTATCTCAGGTACAGTTTGCGATATGGAGTGAGAAGTATTGATATATAGTTAGGTCCTCAACTAGTGGATACAGTAGCCTACCATCGTTCAGTCTTTCATAAACTGATGTTCAACCAACGCATGAGTCGGGATTCACCTTATGATATATTCTCTCGGAATGTCACCTATCTCCTTCTCTCGGAATAGTTCTTGGCATGGCAGCGCATCGAAGAAAATTGACATCCTGGTTAGGAAAATTTTTCACTCTGGCTATAACTCTGTAACAATTTTTTTACAACAAAAGCTTCGAAAAGACAGAACGCTTAGTAAACTTGATAAAATTCTGACTCATTACCTATCGATTTTGATCGGTAAGTATGTTGATAGATATTGTCTGTTTGTCTGTCTGTTAGACACTTTCGTATGTTACGCGATATCTCACGAAAACGAGGTTGAATCTGCTTCATTCTATTCTGACTCATTACCTATCGATCTTGATCGGTAAGTATGTTGATAGGTTTGTTACTTATCGATCTTAAGATCGGTAAGTATATTGATAGGTATTTGTCTGTATGTCTGTCTGTCTGTCTGTGTTTCTGTGTGTGTGTCTGTTAGATGAACGCGATATCTCACGAACGCGTGGTTGAATCTGCCCCAAATTTTGCATGTGCATGCATCTTACCTCGGACCAGTAGCCTATAGATTTTGGGTTGATTATGTCGTATAATTAGTTATTAACTAATTACCGATCTAAGATCGATAAGTCTTCGGTCTCCGACCGATATTCTCGTTTGTTTGTTCGTCTGTCTTTTAGACACCTTCGTATGTTACGCGATATCTCACAAAAACGAGGTTGAATCTGCTCCAAATTTTGCATGTACATTCATCATATTTCGGACCAGAAGCGTATTAATTGTTGGATGAATTATGTCGTATAATTAGCGAGTTATTAATTAATTAGTGATGGGACACGTGGTGTCTCTTGAGAGCTAAACCATGACCTCGACTCTGGAAAAATTTGAATTCTGAGTGAGAGGAGTTTGAATATACGACTCTAACTCCAGTGAAGTATGCCCAACTTCGACACCGACTCTGCTGCTTATGGGAATCTATATATACTTATTTTGGAACACTTTTTTCATCCCTCGCTATGAGTGAAAAGTACTTTATTCGGTGCTCCAGAAGTGTGTGAACCAATATGGAGATAACTGAATTTGTTCGCCCACTTTACATTAAGTTGTATACAAGGACTGAAACCTATGGGCAAGAGATATATTCACTTGGCTAACACAGACAGTCCCGAACTCGTACTAGAACTAAAATAAGGAAAATCGGGATAAAATTATGGCCTAATCTTAACCTGGTACATATACTACGGGGGTGCCAGTGGCGTAGCAAGACTCTCGCGCCCCCCCCCCCCCCCGCGCAAAAATATTTCGTGGAATTGACCCTAAAAACTCTCGGACATAAGGTAAAACAACGCTTTTCTTTTATTTCGTCAAAAATCATAACATGTCGCTATAAAAAGGCAATGGTAACCTAAAATTTGCCGTTTATTTTGATTGCTTTAATTTTTTTTCATACGTTCTTCCTCGTCTGCCCTTTTCTGCGTTTCTGTGCGTTTTTGTGTGTGAGGAGTTTTGCTTTCGACATCATTCTGACAGCCTTTGATATTTTGCCGGTGAGATCAAACCACAAGACGCCGAAAATCGACGACTTCCTGGCATTATTACGTAACAAAACGATTTGGGCAGAACACTACAGCAAAATTTTTCCACAAGAATTACTGAATTATTCCCAGGCTGGAAAACGTGTGGTTACTTAGTAATTGTTTCAGAATCTTTCATAATAGCCAGAGACATTCGATAATTATGTAATAGATTCAGATCCAGATATTTTATTTTTATCGTGCAGGAATCAATGCAAGAAAAAGTGGCAAAATTATATAACGGCAATATAAAAAATGTAAATATACATATAAGAAATAGCGTCTGAGACTCATTGCAATCGATAAGAGGTTCCCGAAGGACTGTGACATTCTTCGGGTCAGCGACACCTGTTGGCTGATTAATTTTGAGGGAAATAGACAAACAATATACTAATTTAATAATTCAAAAGTATCACAAAATGAAAATCATTAAATATCACTGGAGTAATGAATGACGCAGAAGCGCCCTCGTACATAATATTCGGTGCTCCCGAAGTATGCGAACCAAGATGGCGGACATCGGAACGTAACATGGGTAACAGGTTAGGGTTAGGCGATAATTTTTTTCCAATTTTCCTTATTTTAGTCCTATTATCAGTTCGAAGACTGGCCAAGAGCCTCCCGTAGTATTTATACCTAAAATTATGGCCTAACCCTAACCTAGTACACATATTAAATTCCGATGTCCGCCATCTTGGTTCGCATACTTCGGGAGCCCCTAATATTCTTATTTCATTCTTATTCTGGAACTATTTTTGTTTGGCCCACAGTTAGCGATAAAAGTTACACACAAAATTAGATAATTCTTACAAATTTTTTAGTAGTGTATAAATAAACTTAGAATAATAAAATCTGGCCTTTGTTTGCTTTTCAGCCATTTAAATCAGGTTAATGATTTACGACTTAGGATATAAATCGGTTGAGTTTGGGGATTTAAACCGGTAGCTAGGCTAAGTTATCAGATGAATTAGAGGCGCTTCAGAAGTGTGTGTACCAATATGGAGATAACTAATTTTGTTCGCCTATTTTACATCAAGTTATGTAAAGGGGCTGAAACCTATGGGCAGGGGGTATATTGACTTGGTTAACTCAAACAGTCCCCTAACTTGTAATAGAACTAGAATAAGGAAAATTGGAATAAAATTATGCCCTAGTAACCCTAACCTGGTACACACACTACGCGAGTACCGATCTAGAAGGAATATATTTAGCTGTTCATGTTGGGCTCAGTTTTTTCAGGAAATGGGATTAAAATCAAAGTTTTCAATGAGAATATTTGTTAGAAGGGTTAGTGTAATTACCGGTGTTAAATTTGTTAAGGCCATCCGCCCATTGTGTCCGAAAAAGGCTTTCTACATGCAGATAGTCAAATACAAGCTAGTTAGGTTGAAAGAACAGTTATCATTTTGGTTTGGACTATTCTATCTGGTGAAGTATATTCTACAGTGATGGGTATGCGCTAGCAGGGCTAGGACGGTGAAACAAATGGCAATGACAACGTAGCCAGATCAACGCGGTAACCTAAAGATTAGGATAGTCCACAAATTAAATGAAACTTTTCGAACTGGAAATATCTGAGAGATAAGGGAAAAGCGAGGCTTCTGGTAGAATAATTTAAGAAGTTGAGGGTCAGCTTGTCAGTCTCAATTTGAGCGTTCAATATAATAACGAGGGAAAATAACATTCTAAAACACGAGTTTTGCTGTAATAAAAGATCGTAAATTTGCAGATGTGTATAATATATGTTTGTCTTCTGCAATAAAATTTTCCCATGTTTTTTTTGTCATAAACTTTGTTGTTTGCGAAGGGTTACACTGTAAAATTTCTGTGTATGTTCTTCCAATGCCGCTATGGGTTAGATACAACAAACCACAGAATACGTTTGTTACGAGTACCAACTATTCCTTGAGCTAACTATTAAATTTTAAATGTATATTTGTTAAGCCATAAATAACTTCGTGGTGGCTGAATGTGACGTCATATAGCAATATTAAAGTGATTTACTTGTGTGACCAAGAAGGCTTGA